AAATAATAGAATGATTTAAGAACAAGAAATAATAAAATGATAAGAAATAATAATAAAATGAATTGTTATCAAATAAAATATAAAATAAACAATAATAACATAGTAGAAATAAGTAAATAAGATAATAAATGAGAAATGAATAAAAATAAGAGAATAAGAAAAGAGGAATGAGAATAAATAAGAGAGAAGTTAAAGATAAATATAATAATAAAAATAATAATAATAATAAAGAAAATAGAAGATAATAAGGAATAAGAAATAACAAAACATCTCATCATATTAATGATAATATCACATAATAATGATAGAAATGAAAATAACATAGAAATATAATAAAAAGAATAATCCAATTACAACCAACTAACGAAATGATGATAAATAATAATAAAATTAAAATAAAAGAAAGAGAAAGTATTAATGATAAAGAAATAAGAGATTGTGATTATATAACTGAAATCAATGAAATAATTGTGGGAAGAAGAAAGGAAGATATAAATCAAAACAATCACTAAATAACTAAGATGAAATAATAATAAGAACAATAAAAAAGATCAATAATCACAATATGAATAACAATACAAAATAATAACAATTTAACAAATGATAAAGAAATTTAATAATAAAATATAGAAACAGATATTAATAATAAATACACAACAATGTTAATAAACCAAAACATTGATTATGAAAATAAATAAAATTACATGAAAAAAATACAGAAATAAAGGATAAGAAGAAGGAATAGAAATAAATTAGAAATAATAAACAAAGAAATAGAATAATAAATGAAGTGAAATTTGAAATAAAATGATAAATATAATAGAGGTTATTTAAAGAAAATAAAAATATATAAAGAAATAAGAATAAAATAAAGTATACAAAACAAACTAATAAATCCAAATAATGAGATAGTGAATACAGAAATTGGATTCATACAAAAATTAAAAAATAAAATAACAATACCAAAGAAGGAAGAAATATTATAATTAAAAACATAACATATATTCTAGAATAATATTTCTATCACCACCAAACATACACAATTGAAATAGTAATAACAATATGATAAGACTAATCTCTACAGAGTATTAAATAATCTAAGACACTTCTATCCATAATACATTAACTAGTTTTATTTAAAACTATCTCTTATTGATTCATAATTCATTATTATTCTTTTTTTGGTAGATTTGTGTTTGTGTTTCGATTCTAATACTACTTTTATACTTATGTTAACTAGTAAATATTATAATTAATATTAATGTTTTTGTTTGTTTCCTTTAAAAATTTATATGATTTTATTCATAATACTTTTTATTGAATTAACGTCTTATCTTTTCCTGATATTATTATTATAAGATATTCTCATTCAACCATTTCATCTGATTGCTGATTTAAAGTGATGATTTGATTTTAGTATAATATTATTCAATTATTTTTATTCAATTTATATATATTTATTTTATTTCTAAATTTTATTCACTTTTATTCTGTTTTATGTTGAAGTAACTTGTCATAACATATTTAAAACAAATATTTCTGATTTATCAAGGGAAGTAGAGAATCGGGTTATTTAATACTAATTCATTCTTCATATTAATGACTATCATTTATTGATGATGTGATAAATCTAAATTACATTATGAAATGAAAATTATAAGCAAAACAATAAATTGATAGTATTAGCTTCATTGATCATTCTACTAATATTCTAATACTTAAACAAATAATTATAGCGATTGCTATCTCAAACTGACATAATATAAAAATAAAACTAATTAAAATTCAATTTTTTTTTAACTATTTAATTTAAAAAAATAAGAAACAAATTTAATTATAGAAAAAAGACCAATCAAAAAAAGATATTAACTTTTAATTTATAAAATTATTTACTAAATTACTTGTGAGATAAAAAACAAAAATAAAATAATAACCACTTTTAAAGTCAATAAATAAAGAAATACACCCTTAAAATTTCCATGGAATTTGAGATTGAAAGTCCCATTGGACAAACCCATTCGAATCGCCTTGTTGATTTGATGAAGGTTGTGGTTGTTCTTCGGAATTTTTTTGTTGGTTCCATTGAGATAAAGCTGCAGCTAATTGTTGAGTTTGAGTTGGTGTTTGAAGATTATTGTTTTGAGGTGATGTTTGAGAATGTACTGTTTGTTGGTTTGATGGTTGTTGCACTGTGTTTTGAGTGGAAAAATTAATCAACGAACCAAAGTTTGACATTGCTGCATCATTTCCATTTGAAACTGTAGTAGAAGAAGTATTTTGTTGGTTCATCATCTGAGGAAGAAGATTAGGATTGAACGCCATTGATCCATAATTTAAGCTTGGCATAACTGTTTCAGAAAGACGATATAATTTCATTTCTAAAGTATCTTCTCTCATTTTTAATTGATAAAGCATTTCCTTTAGTGTATTTATTTGAGTTTGTGTTTCTACATTTTGTTTTTGTAATTGCATAAGTTGTGTGAGTAAGTATTGGTACAACGAAGTAGTATCATCACCAGTTTGTTTTTTTCTATGAGGAGTTGGTTTTTTCCGTTGGATATTAGGAAGTAATTCAGGATGACCAGCAATAAAACTTTCATGCCGAAAACAGAATCCAGTTTGAGTTTCTAACTATAAATTAATTATGAAATAAATAATAATAATGAAAGAAAAACTTTTTGGTTAAACACTAAGAGAATGTTTTAAGTTAAATAAAAATCAATAGACCAAAAATGGTCCACAAAATATTAATAATAATTAAAATATAGAGAAACAAACCTTTCTAAATCCATATATATTAAGTTGTCTAACAAATGAACAAATATTAGAATGTTTGAAAAATTTAGGTAATATCTGTTTTGAGAATTCAACAGGATCAGGAATCATAATTGCTTTTTTATTAAATTCATTACTCCAACAAATCTATTAATAAGTTATTTAATTTTTTTTTTAAAGAAATTGAAATTTATTTGTCTTTTCATAAAAATTTGACGACTCATTTTAACGTAAAATTGGTGTAACAAATCAAACTCATCAGTAATTACGTGTAGTACTATTTCTAACAAAAAAGTAAACAAACAAAGTTCTGAGTTTCAGGGTTGTTGACTAATTCGTATAACTTTGAAATGAAAGCAACAACTGATGTTCCTGGTGGTGGAAGTTCGACATTATTTGAATCATCTATAGGACTTTTATCAACAGGAATACCAGCGATAGTGGCTTCAGGAATACACCCAATTTTTTCTGTTTGTGGCTCACTCATTTTAAAACAAGAATTTATGAGATCACAAGATCTTTTCTGTAAATGAAAAAGATGGATGAAGAAGATCTAAGAATTACTACAAAATAGGGAATTAATGGCATCAATCATTCATGAAAAACTTGTTGAAGCTATTAAAGAATTAGATCGTAGTGGAAATACTTTACCACCACCAAACAAAGAATTAATTGAACAAATAAAAGAAGAATTAATTGGATTTAAAGAATCACAAGTATTGAATCCACGAATGGTGTACGCTAATGCACTTCGTCAACGACTAAAAGATTTGTATGAAATTTATTTGTTTGTTAATTTATTATTCTTTGGTTTGAACAACACCACTTATTGGTAGGAGTGAACGATTAAAACGGGTTGAAAATATTCGATGGGAAATTGGAACAGCACTTCCAGTAAATATACGTGCATCAATGACTAATGACGAAATTCAATACTTTAAACAATACTGTAAAATTATTGGAGAATATGGTGTTAACAGTGGAGTTGATGTTGTGAGTGATACTCTTTATCCACCTATTAATAATTATATTAATGTTCGAGCAAATACTACTAAAGGGATGGATGATTTGCCACAAAATCCAAGCATTTATACAACAAATGGGTTATTAAAATTAGATAATAGTGAAGTTCAATGTGTGTTAAGAAGTTCAACAGTTGATTCATTAATTCATCTTGGTGTATTATCAATAGTAGATTGATTACAAGATTGATTTCTTTGATTATTTTCGACAGCCAGTTAGTTTTTTATTTTATTTACAATCTCTAAATCTTGAAAATATCCAAAATCTTATAATTGTAATTTTGTGGTAGCTTTTAAAATGAATATACTTCAACAATTATACCTCCCATTACTTCATAAAACTATTTTGTTGAATCTAGTTTATGATATTATGGTTATTATTGTTTTTGTCATAATATCTATTGTTTGTGTTCTGGTTACTCCACACCATATGGATATTCCACAAGAACGAGAAAATGTGAATGTTTTATATCCACTAGTTAGTTCTTCAGTACCAACATGGGCATGCATTATTATTGGATATGTTCCACCTGTTTTGGTTATTCTTTTAATGACAATAAAGAAAAAGTCATCGTTATTTCTTTTATTTTCACTACTTTCATTAGGTCTTTCTGCTTCAATGTGTCTTGGTGTAACAAACATGGGCAAAATTTTTGCTGGTCGTCCTCGTCCTCATTTTTATGCAAGGATTGATGCTAAACCAAATGAAATCAATGACGCTTATATGAGTTTCCCTTCTGGACATTCATCAGCCATTTTTAATGGAATGACTTTCTTGGCGCTTCTTTTTGCTGGTCAACTCCATGCCTTTAGTACTAGTCATGATTCATGGAAAATGTTAATTGTTCTTTTGCCATTTATTATTGCTGGGACTGTTGCAATAAGTAGAACCCGTGATTACCACCATAATTTTAGTGATATTATTGCAGGTTCTTTAATTGGTATTTTCTTCGCTCTTTTAACTTATTGCTCCAAATTTAAAAGCTTGTCAGATGAACATTCTGACGATTTAAAGATTGAAGACGTTGTGAAAGGTCAAGAACCAGTCCCTCTTGAGGATGAGGAAAAACAATAACTCATTCTTTTGTTTTATTTGTTTCTTTTAATTACTTTATTCTTATTCCTAAAACTTTACCTACCAACTATCTCTTTTTTTGTTGTAAAAAAGTAAAGTATCGAAATTTAGAAACCCCCTAGTTTCCTAATCAACTTCAACAAATTTGTTTTTTCTTCTCTTTAAATATGATATTAAATGGTTAGTTCGTTCAATTTTATTTTTTTCTTTTCCACAAAAGAGAAAGATAAAAGTTATTTAAAAACAAAAATAAAATTGAAGTATTAATTCATAAGAAATTGAAAGATGTTAGAAATTGAATATTCTACAAAGACAATAGAAAAAGAAAAAAAAGAGGATGATAAAAATAAAATGTAAAAATAAATAAAATGAGAAAATTGAATATTCATAACGATGTTATTTGATAGATTTATGAATAGTTTAAAAATGATTTAAATATAGTTTTAGAATAATAAACAAATAAATATGTTATTAATAACAGAATTAAATTGAAACAAAATTAAAAAAGAATAAAAGATATTAAATAAAAAAAAAGGAACGAAAGATGAAATACAGAATTGGGAAGTTTAAGATAACTTTGAATTTATTTCTAATGCAAAAGAAGATAACACAACAACCGTGTTATTGTTATTTGTGCCAAAAGAGTAAAATGTTTGAAATAAGTAATCCAAAAATTAAAACAACTAAGTTGTGTGTGTTGATATTACGTTCACTTAAAATGCTTCATCCTGAAATGGAGTGTTATTCAATAAAGACAGACATTAATGAATTTATTCAAAGTCATTGGGATATGTTAGTGAAGTTAAAGATATGTTTGTTAATTTCAATAACATAATGTTTTTATATGAATCTCTTGTTGATAGTTATCATTTTAAATACAAAAGGTGGTAACAAGAGAAAAGAATTTGAAATGAAAAGAAAGGGGTTAATAAATATAGTTCAATCAACTCAATGGAAAAAAGCTATTCTTGATGCACTTAATCATTGTCCATTAATTGAATGTGGAAAAGACTTTTGTCATGATAGAGGGTATTATAGATTGAAAGATAATGAAACTACAGAAAAGAAAGAAGAAACACCTAATCCATCATTTTATATTTTAACTCATAAAAATTCAAAACAAAATATTAGTCAAGAACTTTATAGTTGTTATGATGATCTTCAAAGACAATTAAGTTATTCTGTTAAAGTTTTTAGTAAGTTGTATAGTAAATACTTAAGAAATTGTGATACTAAACGAAGTGAATTAGTTAGAGATATTTTAGAACGTCAGAATCAAGTTTATGATTTGTTTGGTAATTACAAATTGCAATTATGTTCTTTTGAATAGATTTGAACCATCAATCATTCGTTAAAATGTTCATTATTTTTTACTTAATTATTTGTTCTATTTTTTTATTGTTTCTTTGTTAAACTAACACTCAACTAAGTAATACTTTGAATATTAAGTGTTGAAAAAAAAAATATGATAGTCATCAAAAAAGTATTTAAGTATGAAAAAAGTTTGTTATTATTCTTTTGAATGTTAATTCAATCTTTTTTTATTTTTACAAATTCAAATAAGAATTAGATTCCATTAATAAAAGATCTATTCAAATATTTCTTCTATTTAAATATAGTTAATATGATGCTTTATTAATTTGTTAAAAATATTAAGTTCAGGATAAGAAGATATTACATAATTAAGTTAATATTTATCTCTCAAGTTTTTTAGAGTAAATAGTGTTAATTAAAAATATTTTTATTATCTATCTTTAAAAATAACTTTAAATTATCAAGTAAAAGAAAAAAGAAATTTGTATAATTTATAATATAGTAATATCTTGTTTTAATACAGAATATAAATACAATACTATATGACTAATAATAATTTTCTTTGTTAGGTTATATTTCATGAATTAAAATAAATAGATTAATATTGACTAGATTAAGATTGAATTTTTTGATAGTTACAAAATATAATAATGATTAATTGATTTAGCACATCGTTAAATAAAAAAAAGAAATTGAAATAAGAATAATAATTTTCAATAAAATATATTAATGACATAGAGAATTACATAAATTTTAATAAAATTGAATATACATAAAAGAAGAATAAGAAATAAATAATAATATTGGATTTAGTATAAAAATAAATTATACGAATGATTCAATTTAATTAATTTTTTTATTATAATTGGAAAATTGCTAAATATCGTATATTTACTCGTGCAACATCATACACAACCAATTCAGAATGACTATTCCATGTCTGTAATCCAGTAGAAATAATTTTACCTTTAGCAACTTTAACACCATCTTCTAAAGTAATAGTATCTTTTGGATCAGGTTCAACCATACCAAGAGCATAAGTAGAATCTGTTCCTGGTTGAGGTTTTTCCATGTATTTATCTTTAGGAGTTTCCCATTGTTTACCAAGTGCAACTTCACAGAATAAAATACAACCTCTATTTTCATTATTATAAGTACAATAACTTACTGATTTACTTGCACAATTAGCAAAATAAAGACCTTTACCATATCTATATCCATTACAAGGTGCTTCTGGTGGTGCAATTCTTAAACCAGTAGATAAAATACCAACAAAATTAGTTAATCTACTTCCATGATATAATAATTGTCTATTTAGATCATCTGTATGAGGTTGATATCTAGCTCTTTCTCCTTCTCTTTCTATTTCAAAAATATCAACTAATTTAGTTGTTTTTCTCCATGAATTAGTTTCTTGATTATTAGTAAAATATTCTTCAAGTAATTTATATCTTTCAGAATCTTTATCTAAAGCAGTAATTTTAGTATTTAAACTTTTATAATGTGAATAAATTTGAGTTATTTCATCTAAATCCATTCCTTCATCTTCTTCAATTAATTTCATTGCTTCTCCAACATCACACATAGTTTCTACTAATTTTAATTCTTTCTTTATTTTTTCATCATTATCAATCATTGGAATAGTACTTCCACTAATAATATGTGGAACAAATGTATAATATTTTGTTGTTAAATCTTTAATTTGAACTTCTTTTTGTTTTTCTGTCATTTCACTATCTTTACTTAATATATCTGATAATTTAGATAATACTCTCATTGCTTCTTTCATTTGTTCAATTTTAATTTTTCCAAGTGGCATATTACTAAGATTTAATCCTGCTTTTTGAAGTGTATTTTTCATCATATCAGTATCAAATATCATTTTAATTAAATCAGACACTCTTGGATCTAAATAATTTTCTTTTGCTTTCTCTTTTAATTCTTGTCTCTTTTCTTCCATTTTCTTTCTTGTTTCTTCATTCATTAATTTTTTTCTTTCTGTTTCATCCTTTCCTGTATCAAGTGCTTGCATAAAATATTTTCCTCCTACTTTTTTAAATTGAAGTCTATTTTCCCAATCATTTCCTGTACATTCTTTAAATTTTTTTATCCATTCTGATAAAATATTACTAAGACTTCCATTTCTAAATGTATTATGTAATGTTCCTCCAATTCTTCCCCATTCAAACATCATTTGATATTTTTTTCCTTTCTTAACTATTTGCATTCTATATACTGAATTAGCTCCACTATCTAAATCTGTTTTACTTAATACTACATTATATGCTGTCCATCCACATACTGGATCATCTTCAACATAAATTTCTGTTCCATTACCAAGACTATTATTTGGACTATATTTCATAATTTCTGAATCTGCTGTTGGTTTAAATGTTTCTTTTATAATTCCTTCTTTCTCATGATATTTCTTTTTAACTATTTCTGTTTTCCATTCACATCCTTCACATAAATATTTTTCTGCTCCTTCTTTACTTCTTAATTTCATAAATTCTCCTTTTCTATCTGTTAATTCATCTATCCACTCTAATGTTAAACAAGTTAATGTTTCTTTTGCATCTCTAATTCCTGTTGCTTTCCCACTTTCCATATCTTCATTAGTACTCAAACAAACAGTTGCATCTGCTACATTTTTAACAATATTTCCACCATAATCAATAATTAAATTTTGCCATTCACTAATACTACTTCCAAGATATTTAGGTGTTCCTTTAACAAGAATATACATTCCATATAATTCTTTTTTTGGTGGTACTTCACTTTCTATTTCATTATCTTTTTCAAGACAATTTTCTTCTTTTATATTTCCATTAGTATTAGATTCACAAAATGATTCAGTAGGATAGTCATCTGGAAATACCCAACAAGATAAGATTTTTTTCTTATCTAATCCAGAAACTTTTTCACTAATATTTGCTTTATATCTTTTAATTGAATCAATATCATTTGTTTTGTAATCACACTTTACAAATTCAGTCATATTACCACGACAAACAATGTTAATAATATGATTCTCTAACTTTCTTTCATGACATTGTGGACATTCTTCCATTACTCCAAATTCTAACATATCAGCTGCTGCATCATACAATATCTCATTATCAATTTTTTCTCCATAAATAATTCCATTTTCTGTTAATAATTCTCTGAGTAATTTTGCTTGTACTTCACTTAATTTATCTTTTGCCTTCCAAAATCTTTCATTCTTTTTTTTTATTTTTTCTATTTTGTCTGTTGCAATTGGAACATCATCTTCTACAATTGTTTTAATATGAAGTATATCATCCCATCTAAGTTTTTCCCATCCTTTCATTGTTGATAATGGAGTACTTTTGAAATTATATTTATTTTCTATACATTCAAGATGATTCCATTGTACTTCTATTCCATCATGGAATCTTGATTTAGTTTCTCTACCTACTTTTATTTCTCCTTGTTCAATAACATCACACATGTCTTACATTTTCCTCTACTTGTTTTTGAATATTGAAATTGGAATGAGAGATTAGCTGCCATTTATTATTATTTTCAGTTCATTCTTCCTTTAAATATTATTTCTTTTTATTTATTCGATTGTATTTTCTTTTTTTTTCTCTCTTATTTTTGAGTTTTTGAGTTATTTTTGTAATTTGTCATTTTTGTTATATATAACGAAATATATCAAATATTTTATGTTAATAGTAATAGTGTTATTCTTATATATGTCACAATTACCAACACATCATAAATGTCTAGTTCTTTATGATATGTTTACTTTTTATTAATTATTTGTTGATTCAATACAATGAACATTTTATTATTTTAATTTCTTATTTTGAATTTATCAATTTCATTTTTATTAAATATTAATTTCATTTTATTCTCTTTTGTTTTATTCTCCATTTCTTCATCTTCATTATATTTATTTTATATTTTAATTTATCACATCTCCAGATATATTAAATTATTAATTCATGTTTATCAATTTGTATATTTTTATTTATAATATAATTTAATAATATGTGTTCATTTGTTGATATTTTATTATTACAAATACTATATTACTTTAATTTATTATTTTATGTAATTAATACTTTCTTAATCTATACAAATGTACCATTTTCTTGTATTAATTTTAATTATTTATATTAATTTCATTTTATATTAATATTCATCTATATTCTAATTGTTAATTTCATATTATTCATTTTATTTTCAAAATATTTTATTAAATGATATTTACATTATTTAATTTCAATTTATTAATATATATTTCATTAAATTTATTATTTAAATATTTTATTATTATAGATGATTCATTCTTATTTTGTGACAATAAATATATTTCATTAATTTCATTTTTATTAATTCTTTTATCACATGATTTATAAAATCTCTTCCAAATTCAATTCTTATTCATTTTCATTATTTCTCTTATTCATTATTTCAATTCATAATACATTATTGTTCTTATTAATTCTAATTCATATTCATCTCTTAATGACATTAATCAATCAATTAATTTATCTTTATTAATATATAATCTTTACCTAATGCTTTGGAATGGATATTTGCATCTTGTATCTTCTTTCTATTGTATAGATCAATTTTATCTAATTTATTGATTGGTCAATGGATCACAGATGCAGCAGATCTGAAAGTATTAATAACTTCCATATTAATTGTATTGATGTAATTTCTTTTACTTTCATTCAATTTATTGATGATATCTATGTTATCTATCATATCATTTCTATTTTATTAATACATTTTACATTATCATTATTCTCTTATTTGATTATACAATGATATTTGTATGAATTGGAATTATCTACAACTATGATTTCAATCATGTTATCATTGATTATAATATTTCATTTTCTAATTATTTAATATTTTTTAATATTTACTTCAATCAATATTCATTTAATTACATCATTAATATTTTGATGTGATTATTTTAATTACTTTTTTCGAATCACATATGATTTTTAAATTAACCATGTTTAAAGTGTGATCTACTTTGATTGAATTAATATCAATATTATTTAATTATCTGATATGATATTTTATTAGATAATAAATAACAAATGAGAGAATCTCCTTGTAATATCGCACATTATAATTTAATATACTCTAAATTATTATTGTATGGATGTCCCATCTTAATACACCATCTATTGCATATACATTCAATTAAATTTGATATTGTATTATTAATATTAAAATATTTTAATAAATATATTATCAACTGATTATTCACACAATCATATATATTCTTTATATTATAGAATATTTTATTGAATCTTTTTAAATTCCATTTCTTGCATTCTTAGATAAATTTTAATGATACCTTCTTTTGCTGATAATCACCTTTCTTTACACACTATTTGCTTTTATCTATTTTGTATTCAACATCATTTATTTGTAGTTTGTTTGATTTTAATTTTAATGAATGATGTGAATACTTTCATTATCACATTAAGACAACATATGTGCCTATAGTTTTCTGGTGATTTAGAATCACCAAAATTGTAAATTAATGATGTCTTTCAAACTACCATCTACATGTGGATATTTTATAGGTAATCTAACAATGATTAGAATATTTCTAGTAGTTTATCTTTATACCCAGTTAGATGCTTCAAATAACATTATATTTCATTAACTATAGGTGCTTTCCATGTATTATTTTAGTGAATACTCTATTTCTTCATTTGATATCCTTATTCTTAATAATGTTGTTAGATTAAGACTAAGTCTTGGTATAATAATATAATGATCATAAATGTAAAAAAATTAATACTTATTTTGATAAATATTATTAATATAATGTCTCTTCATATTAAACAATAAAACTATAACAAACTGTATGTTTTAATTTAAGTTATTTTCGTATTACCAAGAAAACTTTTTTAAAATAATAAATAAAAATATTGGAAATTAACGATAACAAAATAAAGAAAAATAAAAAGATACGCTACTCCGGAACTAAACACAGATTTCAACATTTTGATTGTGAAATTCTACTATTAATCTAGTAGTATTTCTTACTTCTATTGATAAATATAACTTTATATTATTTATTATTGTTTTATTAAACTGTATTGATAAATAATACAAATCAACTACATATGAATTATAAGTTATATAATAATTAACTATCAATTTTGTATTAAGTCTTATGTCCCTCTAAGTTGTTGTATTATAAATAAACAAAAATTACAAAATACATATTACAATGAACTTTTAGAATAATTTGAACTTTTTTTAAAAAACCAATAAATAATTATGATTATCTTAGTTGCATAAATTTAAATAATATTTTAATGAATTAACGATAAATAATTGTTTTATTTTTTTATATTATCATATCATCTGAATTGTATATCAAATTTTAATAGTGAGTTAATTTAATACTACATTTGATAATAAGTTGTTTGTTTTTTGTTTTTAAATAAATGATATACATTTTACAAAGCTATATTTTTATAATAATTCGAATCAAACATTATGAATTAAAATACTTTTATTTCACTTCTTTATTATAATTTCATTTATTTTTATTTATTTCTATAATACTATACTTTGATTTCATAAACATTCAATGATAAATAAATAATTTCCTTTACTCTTATATTACTTTTTAGTGTATTCAATTTACAATAATATACACTTTGTAATTATTCCAATTTGATTACTTTATTATAATAATACCATCAAAATAAAACCGTTGTTTCTTATATGTCAAAAGATAATTAAATTGTCTTCAATAGTCAATTTCTTCCAATTATCATTCTTATCAATTTAACATCTATTTTTTAATTATTCTTTTTGAAAATAAATGGCTCTTTGTTGAGTTGTTTTAGTAGTGTTAATGGAAGAAATTGACGTCCAAATATAACTTCAAGATAATTAATCAAAAAGTAAAAACTAATACATTATACAATGAACTCTTTTGCTTTCTGTTAAAACTATTTTTATTTAATTCTTTAGTAATAAATTCATTATTCATTAATACAGAACATGATTTCATTATATTTATTCTTAAGGTGAAATGAACATATTATTATATTTTTTAATTCATTCAATTTTTGCTCTTTTTTTATATCAATAAAACTTTGAATTAATTAATTAACTTTTCAACTAAAAATAAAAAAAGAGATAATGTAATAAAAAAATGACCAATCAAAAACCTATCATAAATTAAAAATTTTCTCTACTACTTAGTTTTTTGCTTTATAATTTATTATGATAATAGTATCTAATGCAAGCACACTGAAAAGGAACTTTATGATAGAAACTGATCATACAGAAGAAACTAAAGTAGTCATTTCCCAATATAAAGAAAATTAATTTATGGATATTTCTATAAATTGACCTTTTTTTATTATAACAATAATATATTTCTTTTTTGGATAGAACTAAAAAATTTAAATAGAGAGAACTAAAAAATAAACCATAAGATGACAACAAATCTTGAAACAAATCAAGTTGAATATTTTGTTCAAAACCCAGCTTCAGAAGCTATTGTTATGAAGAGTTATACCAAGTTATCAGAGTGTGGATGGAGACAATACATGATTGGAAAAATAGGAGGTTTTATTTTGTTATTTACTCGTAATTAAATTTCTGTATTTATCAAATAGAGGACCTTAGGACACTTACTGAAAGTGGAGTTCATCCAGAACGTTTGACAGAACAAAAATTAGAAGAAATAGTTCAGAAACATTTAGATGATTTTCCACCAGAAATAATGAATGAACTAATGAGTGATATTATTGGCTTTTATGAAAAAGCTTAACTTTTCTAACTTCAAATACTGTCACTTAAATTCATCTTTTTGACAATTCCTTTTTGTTTTAAGTGATTAATAAGACTCTTCTCAAATTGATTTACTTTCAAAGAATGGATCATATTACTACAGAATTCCTTTTTCTATAACATAAGAACTATACCTTTCATTTCCGTAACAAGACTATCTGATTCATAAGGGTGTTGAGTTACTTCAACAAAAGCCAAGTCTCAATGCAATAGTCAACAGAGCGTTTAACAAATAGTGTATTAAAAGTAATGAAAGAATAAAGAGAAGTTAAGTGAGATAATGACATTGTTTTTAATCCAAAACAAATAAATAAAACACTGAGAAAAACAACAGGCACTCCAAGTCTTCTATCAGAAGTTGTTATGCTATTAAGAGAAGGAATTTTGAATGGTCTCTAAGTTAATAAGAATAAAATAAAAAAACACTGTGTTGAAATTAAATCCTTCAAAAGAACGAATTACCTATATCATAAACAAACAAAAGAATTTTATTAAATTTACCAATAACATATATTTAAATGAATCAACAAAAACTTCAGCAAGTAAAATAATGAATAAAGAATAAATCATTGATATTAGTAAGTCATGACTACTTTCTATATCCCATTCATAATACCCAAAATTACTTAAAGATAAAAGGACAATAAAAGAAAAAAGTTTAAATAACTCTAGTATTATCAGCACATATATTTAAAACACATTTTTTCAGGAATATTCTTTTCCAACTAAAGATTTAAGTTCAAGAATATTATTTGATACAAGAAGTGTCAATAAAACATGTCCTTTTGAATTAGTTGTAACATTTAATGCCATTACATAAAATAATATATAAAAAGAATGTAATAAAGTAATAAAAACAATTAAAATAAAAAAGAGTATGAATCAGACACTTTTTATTTTTAATAATATTAATAATGAACTATGAATATCAAAAGTAGAAGTAGATAATAAACTATTTAATATCTACACCTGAATTATAATTAATGGGTCTTGAAAAATAATATAAAAACAAACTCCTAATACATTAAAAAGAGTATATAATTTTAATACAGACTCTGGTTGCATATAACGATAAACAAAACTATATCAACTTTTATATATTATAAGAACACAAAAGACAGTTGGCAGACACATTAATATGCCATAGATTTATTTGTAATGAATTACTACTTTTTCATTTAAAAAAAAGTAATTGATAAAAATAAGAAGTGATTCTTAATGAAGTGAATAATAAAAATGAACTAAAAGTATTCCATAATATTAACATTCCACCAGCATCCTAACAAATTGATTATATTTTTTTTTGAGTACATAAAGGTATTACAAAAAAGTAACAAATATGTTCTAAATAGAATACTGTTTGAATAAAATTTTTTACAGATTGAGAAATAGCACTGTCATTTACTATTTATTGTGTTAAGTTAATAGACTAGTGTACTAATTAAGAAACTATTTTAGAAATTGGAAATTAAATTTTTTTCATACCAAAGAAATCATTCTTTAAAAGGATTTTTATCTTCTTTTTAATTTAGATACGATGAAAGGGAGATGTTCGTATGTTTTGGTTTTGACTCATTACTAAATTACTAAGATATCAATGTTTCTGTTACAAAAAAGAACAAAAACACAATAAAAAATGAAACATAAAAGAATAGAAAACCCTGAAAAAAGAGAATTGCTTTTTTATAGTTCGATATAAGCAAAGGAAGAAAAATGGAACACCATACTCGTGTCAAATTATATATGTGGGACTTTTGTCAATGTGATCCTAAAAGATGTTCTGGTAGAAAGTTAGTTCGACAAAAGCTAGTTAAAACATTACCCATTAATGCATCATTTCATGGTATTTGTTTAACTCCTGACTCATCTGCTTCTTTACTAACACCTGCAGATGCTGAAATTATTGCCAGAAATGGAGTTGCTGTTATTGATTGTAGTTGGAATGAATACTCTGCTGGAAGAGGGGTAAATGAAGTAAAACGATTAAAATATAGAAACGGTAGGTTTTTACCTTTTTTAATGGCAGGAAATCCAGTTAATTTTGGAAGACCATTCAAATTAAACTGTGCTGAAGCTCTTGCAGGTGCATTAGCAATTTGTGGATTTATGAAAGATGCACAATCCATTATGGAAGTCTTCGGATGGGGAGAGACATTCTTAAATATTAATAAGAAAGTTATCAAAGAATATACTCAATGTAAAACTTTAGAAGATGTTCTTAACATCCAAAAAGCATATACTGAAACTGACGAAAATATAAAAGAGAAAAGAGAACAAGAACGAGCTAAAATGTTTGATATTCCAGATAGTGATGAAGAGGGTGAAGAAGAATATTTTAATCCAAATAGAATGCCAATTGAAGAAGAAGATGATGACGATGAAAGTGAAGATGATGAAAATGATGATTAAATAAATTAAAATTAATTTTGTTTTATTGATTTTAAATTTCTATTTTCCTTTTTATTTAACATAAAATACTTTTATTTTTAAGAAAAGAATAAAAAAATTCTTAATTTATCTATAAATAATATCCTGAAAAGGTATGAATTATTTGGATGAAGCTGGTAAATAAAAACCTTCAGCAGCTTTCCATTTTGTATTTTCCGTTTTAGCAGCAATACCAGTAATTTCAAGTTGTCCAGATACAGGACCTCCATACTACATAATTAAGTCTTTTTTATTTTTAATTTTAATAAATAACTAATTACAAACTTTAGCATAGGGGTTACAATTTAAATACATGTTTGTATCACTATGCTTTAAACGTACATATCCATTCAAGTCCCAATACTGTCCTTTTTCAGATTCAACAATCCAAAAATCACCATGATCTCCAATACCATCATTTCCAAAACAACTTACTTCCTGTTGACCAGTAATTTCAGATAATTTTTTATGACTGTGTAAATTCTTTTTTGTTGCAACGTGTGTCAAAATTATTTGGTCACCATTTTTAATGACCTCTCTGTGCCATTAGTTTCTTAGTCATCTAAATGAAAAGATAGATTCTTGAAGTTCATAAAAAGACAAACCCTGATTTACATTTTTTATTAGCACATCTAATCGTCCACAATGATCCAACATCATCAAGATCTTGAAGTCCAGTAACAGCTTGTTGGCCTGACCCCATTCCATAAGTAACTAGAAGTGAATGTAACCTAGTTCCTGTCATCATGTGACGAAGTTTAAAAGTACTTCCATATGTCAAATATGTGTGGTCTTCTTCAATAACAAATTCACAATCATCTCCGTCACAATCTTGTGCCAAAACATAACTTATGAAGAGCAGGACAATAAGTTTCATTTTAATGTTTTTATAGTTTTTCTATCTTTTAAATAACATATTCTAAAATTAATGTTTTTTCTTTTTAAAATGATTATTTAAGTAGAACTTATATTCTATTCCTTTTTATTAAAAACATTATTACTTAGAGTTTCTACTTATCTTTTCTTGCAATATTTATTGTGTATCAGAAAGGGTATGCACTAGAAATTGTATTTGATAATTAGAATTCATAGCATATTTTTCTATGCTAAATTAAAAAAATTTATTTGTTTTAAAGTCAAACAAATTTCTTTTATTCTTTTAAATATTATTTGAGTCTTTGACTATAATTCATGTAATAACAAAAGAACTTTATATTGCTAAGAAATAATAAATTAAAATTTCATAACTTAAAAAAAATTAAAGAAGCAGCAATTTCATTAATATTTAATTCACAAAAAATTATAATCATTTTTAATAAAATTGAAATAAAACAATGAAAGATAATAAAAGAAACAAATTAACAAATAATTTAAAATATTATAATTTAATAAATAAATTATAATATTAAAAAAGAAATTTATAATAATATTTATTATAAATTAAAATATTTTAAATAATAAAAAAAATAATAATAATATAAAATATACCAATAATAATAGTTTAATTAAACCAAAAGGATAATTTAACTAGAATTGATGTAATAAAAAAAGGAGTTAGACGTGTTTAGAATGACAATCAGATTCATCACAAGAATTCGATGATAAATTTTGACTTGAATTTGAAATACTAGATTTATCAGGAGGTATTGAATCATTAACAAGTGATTCTTGAAGAGATTTTGTTACTTCGTCAATTGAAAGATGAATAATTTTATTCTTACCACCAAATAATTTAATGTTTTCATAGAATAGAACACCTTCATTAATAATTTCTTTTTTATTCCATTCTTTTTTTAAATGAATAGATTCAATGACTCTACGTTCTGGCATATAATCTTTTTCTGGTTTCTTTTTTACTTCTTCTTTAAATTGAAATCCAAAGAAATTTTTAATAATATCAAGTAATCCATTATCAATATTTGTTGATGTAATAATTCTTTTTGCTCTTTTTAAATTAGTTCCTACTGGAAAATCAATTTTTTCAATATTATCTTCAACTTCTTTACGAGATAATAAAATTTTATCTTCAAATCCAACTTCAACAATTTTTAATTTTTGATGTTTACCATCTTTTTGTAATTTGCTTAATGTAATATAACATCCTAAATAATACAGTATCATTAATAAAAACCCTTCATTTCCATAATCATTTCTATTTGCATTTACTCTATTATTTCTTTTTCTTTCTTTTGATTTAAATTCTCCAAGAATTTCATCTTCTTTTTCCTTTTTTTTTGTTATTTTTTTATTTTTTTTCTCTTCACTTTTCCTTTTTGGTTTAATTATATGAACCCTTTCTTCTTCTCCAATCCTTTCTAATTCTTCAATAAAATTAGTCGCATCTTCTTCAATTTCATCTTCAATTATATCTTCTAAATCCATTTCTATACTACTACCAAGTTGCTTAAATAATTTACCATCTAGTAAACCTGCCATCTTATCCAATTTTTATTTTTTTAGTTCCTTTTTTATAGTTTTTGAGTGTAGTTTTAATTTCATACTCCCGATTTCATCCAATCCTGTTCTTCTATTTTTTCTTTTTTTTTATTTTTTTCGTTTTAATCCAAAGAAGAACTTCTGATGATTTTGAACAATTAAGGCAGAATTTCATTATCTTTTTTCACTTTTATTGTTATAAAATTCATCATTGAATTATTTTTTATCAGAAGAAACTGACCTTTCTTTGCTTTTTTTTTATTTATATTATTTTCAAATTATTATTATGAGGAGGTAGATTTAGAATTCTAAAGAATTCTTTTTCAAAAGTATAAATTAATCAATAATAAAATAATATTACTTATAGTTTTGATTAAAATGGTTTATATTTTAATTAATTTTAGTCGCAGGAATATTATAAATTATATTTTTGGTTCAAGACATGTGTTCTATTTTGAATGGCATTGTTGTTTTTGAAATGACATTAATAAATACATCTTTTCAAATTAATAACTAATGATGTCTACAAATGGAAAATATAACAAAACCTTATTTTAATGATATGAAAATTCTTTTACTGATTGATATCTATTTATTAATAAAATAATAAAATTTATAAAAATTATTAATTTTAGAATAATTATAGTAAAAATTAAATAAAACTATATTTAAAATTTTTTATTAAAAATTTATCATTTCCTATAAGTAATTTAAAAAACAAAAATTTTGTATTCTTTGTTATAAAAAAAGAAACATTTGAAAGACAAACAAAATATCTAATTTATTTTTTAGTTTTAGTTTATACATTTTTATAAATATTAAATTAAATAATTCATTTATTCTTATGAACTATTTGTACAGTTTAATAAAATAGCCATACACAAAGTTTAAAAAGGTTATAAAGAATAATAGTTAGTTAAAATACTAGAAAAATATACTTTAAATATGATTTTAAACAAAAAACTTTTATTTTTAATATATTTTTTTATAAATTTTTAAATTATATAATATAAAATGTTACCATTCAAAATGTCTCATAAACAGTAGATATTTAACAGTCTCAATCATTATATTATTATTGAAGAAAAGTAAAAGACTCTTTAACGAATTAAAATCATTAAATTATAATTTTAATAATTGTTTACATGAAAAAAAGGGAAAGTTCTTTTGAGAAATGAAACTAAAAAACTATTTTTTAAATGCCAACTTTCAAATTAAGTGAAATAATTGAATTAACTATAAGTGAAAATATTGTTCCACCACTACCATTTAAAATGAAAGCTGTTTCTGATTTTATGGAAATTAGTCCATATGCACCTAGTGCTCTTGCTGAACAATGTTTAATATGGATAAAAAAATATAAGAATAAAGAAGCTGATCAAATGCAAATGTTTAATATGTTATGTTTAATGGACTATGTGTGTAAAAGGAATGTATCTTTTCGGTGTCATCTAAAGGATTTTAGTATTGTTCATTGTTTTAAATCTCTAGCAAAAATCAAAGTTTGTTTTTAATTATTTTTTTTTTCTTAATAAATAAGAAATAAAAAAGAAGAAGGAAATATGTCTATCTTATATATTAGAAAATGGATAAAAATTACTCAAATTCCGTTGTTAACAAAGCAAGGTCATTGATAAAAAATTGGGGAGAAAAATATAATGAACTTATTGAAATGAAAGCAATTTATTTAAAATATACAGAAAATATAAAAATAAATGAAGAATCTGTTAATAACATTACAAATGTCCCAAAAGAACTTATTGAACTAAAACCTCAAATAGAAAAAAATATTTTAGAATGTGAAAAAGTAAATGGGATAAATGCCAATTCATTATCTTTACTTGAAGAAATAAGAAGTCTATTATTGTTTGTTATATTTTTATTTTAATTTCTTTAAGTTATCAAAAAAGAAGAAGAATAATTGAATACTAATAAAACAAAGACAATTTAAAAGTGGATTACTATTATTAAATGGAAAATATTTAGAAGATTATCATGAATATATGAAGTGCATTGCATTATTAAATAAGCTTCAAACTAATTATGAAAGTCAATTAATGAAAATTCAAGACGAAGATGAGAAAACTCTATTAAAAAGGAAAGAAGTTCCAAAAATGAAAGGACTTGTTCTTATTCCAAAATTTGTAGAAGAAAGAGAAAAACAAAGAAAAAAAAGAGAAATAAATCATCCATTAATTTCTCAACCTCTAAGTGGAAATACAACTCCTCGTTCAAAAAAAGAAGTTTCATTACTACCTTTAAACCAAACCGATTTTCATACCAGAAAACGAGCTTCAACAATATCTGATATTTCAACAAAAAGTAAAATAAAACAAAATGAACCATTTGAAGATTTTGTTCTTTCTGAAAGTCATATCAATTTGAATTCTTTTAAAAGTAAATATTCTCAACCTTAAGTATAGAGAAAAGCCCATGAATATAAAAAGAACTATTATACTTAATGATATTATTATTCATTAATTTATTTTTATTGAATAATCTTTTTCAAACAAAACAAATTGTATTTAACTTACAGACTTTTTAAAAAAAAAAGAAAATACAAAATTAAATAAAAATCAAAATAGTTTAAAGAATGAGGTTTCAATATCTTTTTTATTAAACAAAAAAAGAAGAAATAAATCAACAATTTATAATAAAAACAAAGTATAACCCAAAAATAGAACATTTGAAATTATTTATAACAAACATTCAATTAAATAAAGAAGAGATTGTTTTGATTGAACGAATTTTTGTAAAAAAATGTCATAAATGAGATAAAAGAATAGAACTAGAATAACAAATTTTTTGATAAAAATACTTTTGTCGTTCAAGAATATCACGAGTGGTAATGATAAAATCATAACTCTTTCGATCATTCTTTTTAAATGGAATTTCATGATAAAGTAAATTTAATAATTTTATATTAGTTTCAATTTGTCTAGACAAAACATCGATACTATTAAATAAATCTTCTTTGATTTTATCTTTTTCAAATAAAATTTCTTTTGTAGGTATTGATTTTTCATCACATAATCTGTAATATCCACGATAATGAAATACATCTTTTCCTGATTCTATTGATGAACAATGATTTAAAGCATCAAGAATACATTTTTTCCAATTTGGTTTTTGAACTAACAAATAAATATTTAACATTTTGTAAAAAAGAGAGTATGATTAAAAGAGATAATATGATTTTGTAATATCTAAAGAAATAAAAGAAAGAAGAATTAAAATAAAAGAATAAGATATCAAAAAAAAAATAATAATGATAATAAAGAAATAATACTTTTAAGATTCAAACTTTGAATTCAAAAGTCTCAAAAAAATAAAAATAATTTAAAACTTTTAAAATAATTAATACCAAACATAATTTGATTTTTCCTAAGATATTCCAATGATTTTTAATAAATAAATAAATGTCTTTTTTTAAAGAGAAATAATCATTCATTGGATGTAACTTTTTTAAAGAACGTAATATTAATATACATAATTTCGTTGTTTTTAATTTATTTTCTTTTAATAATGTAACTTCTTGTTCACAAATACAACATAAGCACCTAGGACTTATTTCTTCATTACCTCTTCCAGGTTCAGGTGTTTGCATTGAAAATACTTCTTTTAAATCTTTTCAAGTTTTATTTTTAACTTCTTCTTTGATACTTCTTATCAAATCCTTTTTATTTTTTTTTCTCTCGTTTTCGGTGTTTTTTTTTTTGTTGTTTCCTTCACTACTGAAACTAATTTAATAATGAAGAAATGTACGTATTCATTTTTTTCTCTAATATTGTTAAATATTCCTTTTGAATTTCTTTTTTAACGTTTAATAAAATAATGTTATATAAAACATTAAATATTTTTTTATTATGTATGGAATTCATTTTAAAGAATTTTAAAAGAAATTACATATTTTTGTTGATTGAAAATTCAATATATTTTTACGTTGAAACTACTTTTTCTTGTGAATAAGATCTCATTTTTGATAGTTATAAAGAAGTTATTTAAATGAAGTGCACTAAAGTTATTGACTACGTTATTCATTTCAAAAGAGCAAATAGTTTTGTTTTTATTGATTATTTTAAAATTGACCAAATTAAGAAATGAGGAGTTCTAAAGAAGTTCTCCCAAATAAAAACAATAATAAAAGAGTAATTACTAATAAAAGTAGTTGAAAAACCAAAGAATATAGTTAATTTTAAAGCACCAAGAGTTGATGATCAAGATAATATTATTTTTGAATTTTGTTATCCTGAAGCTGTAGTTGGAAAGCAAAAAGAACGACTTGAAAATTTTTCATTTGTTTTAACTGGAATAGATGGAATGAGAAAATATTGTTATTGTAGAAGAAAAATTCATACTAATGACTCAGAGTGTATTTGTATTGTATCACAAAAGTTTGTATTATATTATTATTATAATATATATTACTTCTTTGTTTATTACTAAAATATTCTTTTACTTTCTAATTATTTCATACTCTTATTATTTTAGTGCATCTTTTGCTTTTTATGAACAAATTTTAAATTTATTTGAAAAATATTTACCAAAAGTGGATGCTGTAGAACAACTTGCATCTGCTTTATTAGAACAATCATTTCCTTTTCCAGGAGAACAAATTCATAATAGTGACCCAGCAAAAAGATTAATTAATTATTCTATAGTTAGACCAATTAATGACACTTTTACAAATACTAAATTAGTTTCTACTGCAACACTAATTAATAAATTTGGAGCATCTGAAGTTATTGATATTTTAAGTCATATGATGTTAGAACGAAAATTTTTATTTGTGTCAGATTATTTAATGACCCTTTCTAATACAATTTCATCATTTATCACATTAATGTCACCATTTGTATGGCAACATGTTTTAATTCCATTATTACCTAAAAGTCTTGTGACATATTGTGCAGCACCAATGCCATTTGTAATTGGGTGTTTACGAACTTTATATCCAGAAATTCAAAATGAATGTGGGGATATTTCTGATGTTTTTATTATTGATATAGATAATGGAAATTATATAAATAAACCAAGTTTTCCAATGCTTCTTGTTTCTGATACAAGTATTGGGCTTCGTAACATTTTATCAAATATTGTAAGTAAAGAACCAAAACCAGAAGATGATACAGTTGTACGAGCACAAGTTCTTAAATTTTTTCAAAGATTATTTTTAAATTATCAAAAATGTTTTAAAGAAGTTAAACCAACTGAAGAAGATAAAAACAATCCTCGATTTAAACCAATTCAATTTAAGTGGTCAAAATTTATTAAAAAATTAGATCCTGATAATGAAGCTTTTATAACTGAATTTCAACAATCTCAAATGCTTGATATGTTTATTGAAGAACGTGAAAATATGTTAATTAATAATCAAAGTTTACTTACTAAATGCCCTTTACTTGTTAATAGTATTACTGCTATTCCAGAAGCAACGACTTGTCATTGGAAAGTATTAACTGATTATTTTCCAACTCCAACATCAGAACAAAAAATTTGTTTCTTCTGTAAACAAAGTATTTTAACAAACATGCCATGTTCTTTATGGGAAGGTAAACCAATTCATTCTAAATGTTATAGATGTCAGTCTTGTTTTAAAGTAATTGTTGGAGATAGAGAAAGTATTGACCATCGTTGTATTTATTGTGTAAGTAAAAATCTTCCCATTCAAATACATACTGAAAAAGATTATTTAAATCATTTTAATAATAAATTAGTTAAAACAGCTTTTGCTATGAAAAGATGGAAAAGAGAAATTAAACAAACTGTTAGTATTGGTAATTATATTAAAAAATCAGATGACTTTAGTTCTTCTGAGAATTTAGATGAAATGGAAATATCAGAACCTATTGACTTTCATTCTGTTAAAGTAGATATTAAATTTGATCTTTCAAAACCTGCACCTCCACTTCCTTCTAAAAAAGAATCTACTCAAATTCGTAGTAGATCTTCTTCAGATAATGGTATAATTTCTCAAAAATCTCTTTCACATTCTACTCCAAATGTTTCAAAACCAACAGTACCTCCTAAACCACTTACTATGAGTACTGAAAAAATTAAATCAAATAAAGAACGTCCTACTCTTCCTAAAAAATCAATAAAACAAATAGCAATAGAACCAATTGAAGTTCCTTTTAATTCTTCACATTCAAAAGAAGATAAGAAAAAACCAGAATTACCTAAGAAAACAACAACATTAAATGGAAACACATTAAGTAAAGTTAATACTCTTCAATCTTCAAATGGAAATTCTTCATTATCAAAGAAAAGTCCTAATGAAAAAACAAAAAGTAGACAAAATGGTGGAGGCGTTGCTCGGTTAGCAGGAATGTATGAAAATATGAATTGAATTTATTTCAAAATAATTAATGAATTAATTTATTAATATTTTATCAATAAAGTATTAAATAAAAATCTAAGCATAATGTAGAATACCATTTAATGATGGAACTGAATTACATTCAATTGATTTAGGAATTTCAATAGTTTTTGTTGTTTGTGATGGTAAAGTATATATAATATGATTTCTTTCTTCGAACCCATTAAAGTTAGTTGCCATAGAAATAGTATAAGCACCCATATTAGGGAATAATAACCAATCTTTTCCTGGTTCCATTTCTGGTAAATCTTGAATTGCTACTTTATCACTCCCATTACAAGAAGGTCCATAAATAATACTTTCATACATTTTAGTATTTTCATTGATTATTTGTGTAACACATTCACAAATTTTTTGTTTTTCAAACCAGATACAACATCCAAAACTTCCATGTAAACCATCACCTGAAGTATATTCAATTTGTTTTTTTTCATTATGTATTCTTACTCTTTTACCATGTAAAGAACAAACAAGATGAAACACATTAGACGCTAGATATCTTCCAGGTTCTGCAATAAATCTTGTTCCTTCTGGAAATTCTAATTCTTTTATTGTTTTTTCAATTGTTGTTGCAAATTCTTCAAATGGTGCAATTTGACTAAATCCACCTCCAATATCAATTAAATATGGTTTCATTCCAAACTGTTCTGCCAACGTAACAACATTTCGTGCTTTGGTTAATGCTTTAGTAAAAATTTGACTATTATGAGAATCACTTCCAACATGAAAATGAACTCCATCTAAATTTAATCCTTTGTCTTTAATCTCTTTTAATACTATTTCAACTTCATTATCATGAAGTCCAAATTTCTCTCCAAATACATGACCCGCTGATGTATCATTTTCCATAATTCTTATCATTACCCCCATTTCTGGTGCATATTTTGCAATTTTTTGAACTTCATCAATTGAATCTACAATTGTATGGCGAATTCCTAAATGACTTGCTTCAATTAATTGATTATATGGTTTAAAAGTTTGTGAGTACGTAATGTCTTCAGGACTAAATCCAAGATCTAATACTTCTTTTATTTCATTCAATGATGCACAATCAAAACCACATCCTAAATTACCTAGAAGCTTAACTAAATGAGGCTCAGGATTACATTTAACAGCAAAACAAGGTCTAACTGTTGGCATGTTCTTTTTCCATCTCTCAACAGCTTTTTCAGCTCCTTTAGTATCAAAAATCCAAAAACCCAGTGGTTGATTTTCTGGTTTAAATTGGTTGATAAGACTAAGAGCGAATTCTTTAACTTCTAGAGATGTTTGTTGCATTATTTAATAATTTAATATGTTTGTTAGTTGAAAAATTTCTTTAAATGTTTCTTTAAATTAAAAAAAAAAGATGATAACAGATTAATTTAGTATCTTCGACTTGTCTATTTGCTTCCTTCATTTCTCAAATTATGTTAACAGAACGCGATCGATTCTTCTTATTTCTTTTGCTTTATTAATAAACTATTTTGTCTAATTTTTTTTTTCTTAAATGAAATCGAATTTGATTTCTTTTATTTAAATATCTTTTTCTTTATTTTTATAATTTTGATATATATTACAGTATTTATTTTCATTTTATTAGTTTCATTTGTTAAAAAAAGAATGAACTCAGAATGAAGTTTATAGTTTTTCATGGGAAATCAAGAAGCAAAGCAACGTGTCGATAACATAGAACTTCCTCTCAAAGAGGGGGTTGTTAGTACAATTATTGAAAATGAATTATTCCTCACTGGAAAAAAAGGTGCATTACTTAGTGATACATATGAAATCAATCATATTAAAGCCTTAGTAGTTGTATGTCCAGAACAATATGAATATCCAATTAATAAAGAAGAAATAGAGATATTAAAATTACCAGTTGTAGATTCATATAATTTTCCTTTAAGAGATTATTTAGAAAAAGTATATGAATTCATTGATTCACAAATAACACAACACCATCCAGTATTAGTTCATTGTGATTTTGGTGTTTCACGATCTGCTTCTGTGGTTATTGCTTATTTAATTAGAAAATACCAAATGTCTTTAAAAGTTGCTTTTCAATATGTCTCTGATAGAAGGCATATTGTTTGTCCAAATCCTGCATTTATTATGCAGTTATATGAATGGCAAAGAAAATATCATTCATGTATTGGAAGTGATATTGATGCATTATATATTAAACAGTTACTTTCAGTGTCTTCATTATTATATAGAGATATTCCTTCTAAATCATTATGGAATGCATTTATTGATTCAAATTTTGATTTTGCTGATGCATTAAAATCATTAAGAAAACAATTAGCATCAAGAGATTTATCAATGGAATTTTAAAGATAATAGAAAAGAAAAAAAATGATATTAAAGTTTTTATTAATTTCTTTAGTTTATAACTCTTAAATAAAAATGAAGAAAGAAAAGATGAAATTAAGATTATTCATATTGATTAAATACATTTTGTATCTTCCAAATAAAATCAATAAAAGTTATTGGTTGTGAGGATGAATTAATTGATGAGATAATTTTTATTCTCTTTAAAAATGAATTGCTTTCAATACTTTTTTGTAATTTCGAATTAATTCCTTTATACAATGCAATTACTGTCTCTCTTATATATATTCCAAGATGATTAATAAAGCAGAAATTATTGTTTTGAAGAGGTCCCCATCCTTTATACTTCTTTGCATATATTTGAATTTTATATATCCCTTTAAGATGTGGTTGAATAATAATAGCTATTTGACAATTACATTCTCCAAGGACATTAGGATCAAATTCTATTTCTGTAAAGAATATATTTATAAGTTGGTTTAATATTAATTCTTTATCATTCTTATTTTGAATTGGTATTTTACTAATATCACTAATAATAACTTCTCTAATTGTATCACTATATTGAATAACATCACATTTATATTTTATTAATAATGGATTTTGTTTACCAACAATTGTTTCTTCTCCTTTAACTTGTTTTCCAAGAGCATTTTTAACTTCTTCAAAAGCTTCTGTAGATTCTTCATTACAAATAATATCTTCTTTAGTTTTTCTATTACCTACATTAAATAACCAAAACAAATATAATTCTTTTGAATATAAAGTATCTAATTCATTAATTTTATTTTCTAAATCTTTTTCAATTATATTTATTTGTTTATAATTTGATTCTGATATATTAAATATAGACATTAATAGTTTTGTTATTTCTATTTGGTCTGTATTTATCTTTTTAATAACTTTAGAATGTCTGTTTGTTTTTTGTTCTGTTAGTGGTTGAAAAAGTGATGTTTCATGTATTTTACTTATTTTGTTCTCATTTTCTAAGAAGATTTTTTCTCTAATATTTGATATTTCTTGAGACTCTTCAGTTTTTATTCCTTTACATAATTCATTATACTCTTTTATTATTTCATTCACGTTTTCGTCTAACCATCTTTCTTTTTCTTTTTCTATAGGAACATAAAATAATAAGTCTTGTTTTTTTTCAGTATATAATACGCTTTCTTGAACAGTAGACTTTGTTTGATTTAAAACGTTATTACTATAACTTAACCCATTATTGTTTTCTTCAATTTCAAAAGTACATTTACCAAATGCATCCCTCATTTCAATAATAACACTCATATTCCTTTCATCTTTTATCCATACACTAAAGACTTTTCCTTCTTTCATAAAGTTAAGAACATTTTCCTTCATTCTTCGTTTATACTTATCATTTTCTATTAAATTTCCATACCGCCTTAATGAACTAATAAAGATTTTTGATGCTTCACCATCTCCATATAATTGTGTTATATTAATTCTTGTTTCATTTAATTCTTCTAAGTAATGGAATAGTTTTTTTAGAGTTGTAATATCCATAATTTGAAATATAGATGATGAAGTAAATCCAATTACCATTAAAGACATAATGATTCTTTGTTTATTTTCTATTAAAGTTGTTTTAATAGATTCTTCTAATGATAATTTGAATATTTCATTAAGTAAATCATTAGGAATATTTTTAGCATTTCTTCCAATAAACTCAAGTGTAAGTCCAAAGTTAAGACATATCTCTTTCCTATTCTTTGATTTTTCTGCTAAATCACATTCTCCAAGAATATTATTAAATAATAATAACGCATGATCTTTTAAAATTTTAATTTCTTTTTCAACTTTTTGATTCCTTTGATATTGTAAGTGATTTATAGTTTGAGATATTTGAACAAATAATCGAGCTGCTATCCACACAGTAGTAATATGAGAAGATTTTGTTATTATAATATGTGTAGCAGATAATATTACTTTAACCATTTGTTGATAATATTCAATTAGTCCATTAGAATATTCAGGAATTATTAATTGCTCTAATTCTAAGAAATTATTTAATAATGAAAGAATTTTAATTGAAGCATTTGTTGTAGAATTAAACAATCGTTTATCAATTGGAACTAAATCATTTCCTAAATTTCCATGTGTAAGATTTGATAAGAATACATGTGTTTTTTGTGTTTTAGTGTAGTCATAAAGTTGTTGTATTTTATTTAGAATTAGAGGTATTAATGGGAGATAATTTAAATTGAGCTGACAAAAGAGAGAATAACATTTTTCAAGAGAAGTAAATAACAATTCATCTGGAATAATAGAAAGAAGATCTTTTAATATTGCAATAATTTCATTAGGACAATAAGAACTTTCATAAAGTTCAACTAATGATTGAATATTCATTGTTTGTATATAATTATCTTGTAGTGATAATGAGTTAAAAATGATTGGAATAAAGAGTTCTGTGATATTAATTATTTTTTTGTTTGAAATTCTTTCTGATTTATTTAATATAGTGATTGTTTGATTTACTAATAAATGAATATTTCTTCTTATGAGTATATTTGAATAATTTTCTTTTGAAGAAAGGAGTTTTGTAAATATTCTAAAAATAAAAATAATATCTTCGTCTTGCCAATGGTCAAATGTTTTTATCATCTCTGAATAATATCTACTTGTATAATAAGAACAGTACCCTGTTTCAAACATTTTAAATTTTGTGTCATTTTCTTTTGTACTATTATAAACAATTTCGTATTCTGGAGATACTAATGAAATAATTGCAGGAGTTGTTGTATTAGAAGTACAATATAATTTATCAGTTATTGTTCTAACTAAATGTCCATAAACTTTAGCAATACCATTTAAAACACCTGGAATGCACCAATAATCTTGTAATAAATTTTTTAGTGATTGTGTATTATTCAGCCACATATCTTCATCTTTAGAATATAATTTCATCCACGTAAATAAAGTAGAAATGATAATATCAAATGTATTATTTTCCAATGATAATGAAAATGCACTTGATGTAAATCTTACTTTAGTATGTTTATCAACTTTTTGATTTTGAACTCCATTTTTTAATAATGAAAGATAATTATCTACTACAATTAATGTTAGTGGAATCACTGATGATCTAGAACTAATACTTATAGACCATATACATGAAGATAAAAAAGCTAAGACATTCGATAAAAATTTTCTTGATTCTTCAAGAGAATATTCTCGATAAATTATTAAAGATTTAAGTTCATCTACATAGAACGTTTGTAGGGATTTTAACTCTTCTTTTGGTAATGAATTTGTCATTGTTTCTACATTAGGTCCAAAGAATATCATAAAATACCATTTAAGAGATGGTCGAACTTCTTCATTAAATTCATTTGGGTTCCACTTCATATTTAAAATACTATGAAAAATAACTTTAAAGACTTGAGAAAAGTAAGGAGATGAGTACATAGTACAAAATCGAGTAGGATTAATCAAAAAGATTTTTAAGAATAATATTGTTATTTTCTTATTTGGTTCTGATAAGTATTTTAAATAAAATGATTTATCAATGTAGGATTTTACATCTGATGTGATAGTTGGAAATATCACACACAATACATTTCTTAACAAAACTAATAAATTCGAAAAATTATTTTCTTTTTCAAAACTCTGAGACAATGTTTCTGTTAACATATATACAGCCTCTTCTAATCGTCTATTCAAATCCTTACTTTTATTAAGAGAACTGTCATATCTAAAATTAGTACCTTGAAGAATGTTAGTCTCATGAGAATTAAATGCTGGAAAATCAATAATGGAAATGATTAATTGAACAAATCTAAGATCATTACACTTAACACTTTTCAGATAATCTAATGACAGTTGTAATGCTATTTTCCTCACTTCAAATTCCATAAATACACAAAGACAGTCTTCAATAAATAATTGAAAAGGATTATGTTGGTTAAAATATTGTGAAGGAGAAGAGGTTTGTGTTTCATTATCATAAATTATTCCAATAAGAGTGAGTAGAGATGGTACATCTTGTACCCGAATTTTGTTAGAGTCATTGTTTAAACACAATTGTAAATATCTTTCAAGTTCAACAATTAGCGTTTGATATTTTTCTTGTTTAACAAGATTTTCTTTGAATTGGTCTGAGATTGGTGTTCGTTGGATAGTTTCTTTAAATGACCTAATCTTTGACTCAATTGTACGTTCAGAAAGAAACGGATACGACCGATTTGTAAAAAGAAACATTAATTATTTAATTTCAAGTTTAATAACAATTTTCACCTCAATTTATGGTTATTGTTCTATAGAAATAAAGAAAAAAGAAAAAAAAGGAAAAATAAGACATAAAGTAGTGTATCAGAATGATGAGAATAATAAGAAATTACAATATCATAGAATGAATGATGAGATACAGCCACAGCAATCAGTGATATGTTTAATTAATATGTTTAATATTGTTTTTGTATTTTTGAAATGAACGAAAATTTGAAGAAACAGGGAGAATGAAAAAAAAATTGATGTGAGAAAATAAAAGATGAACAAATCATTTATTAATAAATATAATTTATCTTCTCATTAATTGTAGTTTATTCATTTGTCTTTCAGTTTTATTCTGATTGGTATATTACCATATGTTTTAATAATTCATTGAATCTTTAACAATAAAATATCATTTATTTTAAGAGTATTTATTTGTGAATGACATTCATTCTTATTAATTCATACCTAGCCTAATTTCATGATTTATTCTGTTCATTCATACAATGAAAATAAACTAATTTTCTAGTAATATCTGAATCATTCTTTCTTCTTTTTGTATCTTTATAACTATTTAATTTAGTGATAGAACATCTTCTATTTCAAATAACATATTTACATTGAAGATTTTCTTACTTCAAACACGTTAAATAACTGTTTATTATCACATTAATATACAACGTTTTCATTCATTAACCAATCGTGGTTTACTCTTTATATCTGTTTAACACTCGTCATGACTTTGTCAGTTATTTTACTTTTATAAATGATGAGGTTTATTATTTTATCATTTCAACACGGTTCTGAGCATTATTTGAGATCTTAATTGTTATTTTCATCATTTCTAACAAAATCATCACTAATAATCATTTTATCTACTCTTACAGTCTAACCATCACAATAAAATACAATATGAAGAATGTATAATAAAGATAGAAGAAACCAAAATAAATATTAATAATATGATAAGAATGATATGTCATTTCCAAAACAAAAAATAAAATAATGATGAACAAGAAGAAATAAAATAAAAAAATATGATTAGTGTGATGATAAAAAGATAAGTGATAGAATAATGTAATTAGTTAATTGATGAGTACTATACCGTTTAAAATGAAGTAAAAGAAGAAGAATAAGAAAAACTAAAATAAGAAGAAAATAAATAATCAAATAGAATGACAGTGTTAAAATTATAAGAACAAATGTTTAATTTCATATTTCAAATGCATAGATTGACGAACAAATAATCAATAAATGAAATATCATAATCAATAAGAAATCTTATCAAATAGAATTACGTATTAATTTAATTTAACATAGATAAATGATATATTATTTAATAATGTTAAACAAGAAAAGAGAGTTCTTGTTAAAAAATCATAAAATGTATATAGAACATAATTATAAATTATTATTACATGACAAATAAGTTATTGTTTAAAAAAGTACAGTAGGACATCTAAATATAAAACATATTGAATAATAAATACATTATATTGACGGTATTTCATTATTTAATTTATTAAATTTACAACACTTATGAAAGGCGTTTTTATATATGTCATCATTATTTTTCAATTGAGGTTAAACACATAATAAACTGAATGAAACACAACAATATAGATTTAAATAAAAAAAACATTGTTACTCACAAACTTTATTAGCACTCACATTGTTCTGTATTATTAACGTTATTGTGACAATTGTTTTGATTCCATGAAGTGTTTCTAATAAATCATTAATAAATTTAAATACCGAATAAAGTGTTTATATGAATACTAATAATAAATATTATTTGAATATTTTTTGTGTACTGTTGTTTATGATAAGTAGTTAATTGAAGAATAATAAATTTAGTTAAATAAATATTAATAAAAAAGTAATTCAAAACTTCAAAATAATAATTAGTTTTGATAATAAGAATGAACCTAATTAAATATGATTAATAACAATATGTATATCTATGTTTTTACATGTTTAATAATGTATATAAAAGCTATTATTATATCAATTAATGTTATTGACTATTTTTGTTTTATTGTAATTAATATCAATTTAAATATTTTGAGAATATAAACAATAAATAATACAGTAGCAGTAATAAACATTCACTAACAAATGTTGTAATATTACTTTCAAAGAAGACAATAAACAAAAGAATTAAAGAGTGATATTTTTATCATTATCAATCAAAATCATAAAAGTTATCTTAAATGAAATTAGAATGTGATTATACTCAAAATAATATGGTAAATTGATATGCTATATAATAAAAACTTAATATATCCATTGAATGAATTGGTAATACAACATATTGAATTAAAAGATTTTTTGAATGTTAAAAATTAGATCAAAATTAAAAGAACAATAAGATTCAAACAAATAATGAGTGTTTTATTATCAATAAACATAGATAATTAATCAAACAAATATAATACTTAATAATACAAAGAAGAAAGAAAGTAAAAATAATCATAAAAAATTAAAGAAATAACAAAATATATAATTCTCAATACAATGAAACAATAATGTAATATGAATTGAAAACGATATGAAATAGGAAAAATGATGAAAATAAGTAAGAACGAAATTTAGAAGAGATTATATAAACTATGTAGTGAAAGAATTAATAAAAATGAATCTAATGCAATGTATTAAATTATAAAAATAAGAATTACCATCATATACTAATAAATGTCTAAAGAATAAATTTAATAAAATATAAATTAAAATGGAAATAAATATGTAAGAGTCATCTGATAAAAAAACATGAGTA